GTCAATTGTACCTAGAGGTAATGGGACTCGCCACACACACAGCCGGCCTGCTAACTTAGTAAAAAAATCCGGATGCGTTTCGGGGATCTCCATGCTACATGAAAGCACGAAGTCCGAGCAGAACCGGAGCCCTACTAGAGAAACAGCATTGAGGGACAAGAAGGCAACAGTAGCTTATGTAGGCCCACTCATATACCCCTAGTCCCTGCATGTTTTCCAACGAAAGCGGTGATTATAGGGATTTATGGGTGGCGAATTAGGACACACAGTGGAATATACTTTAATAAATGCCAAATGCATTTTTATTTTACTGTATTCAGAAGTGTTGTTGATTTATATCTGCAGATTTTCGTAATCGATATTATCGTTTAACTTATTGCGGAGAAACCCGGTTATCAAATTGCAGGTTTCTTGAATTTCCCCAAAAATTGAAACGGTGGTTAGGAGATCGTCTACTTCAACTTTCCTGAGGTCAAACTTACCGTTCTGGAGTTAGGTTAGTATAGTCCGCGGCGCAAAGCGCCGCGCACACCTTTAACTTACATGCAGCGGCCACGGGAAGCAACTTCGACTACATTTTTTTTCACATTACACTTACTGCTAACCATTTTCTTCTTCGCCTATCCTATTTACCCACCCCTCAAAACTTTATAACCACCGTTTTTGCAGGACAAAATGCTGGGACTAGGGGTATATGCGTGGGCCTACATTAGCTGCTTTTGCCGACAAGAGCTTGGGCAAATAGAGCGAAACTAAAGTGGCGTTCTGTAACCGGCTTTATAAGACGCAAGTTTACAAATCTAAAAAATTCGGCGACAATTTCTTAATATGGAACACTGTAGCAAGAAGAAACCCCAGGCTTGTGTCTTACGGTTAGGCTAATGTATAACGAAATAAGTAGGTAGTTATAGATAGTAAACCACAAAATGTTCCATATAAGGAATTGTTACCGAACCTTCTGGCAAGACTTAATTGTTACAATGTTTTACGACCACAACAAACGGGAAAGCTCAACGGAAAAACGGATGAGAAGAAAACAGAAACATAGGACAAAGAGGGTAAGCATGAAAAGGGCAAAAAGACGCCAAGGGCGTTACCTGTTGTTGTTCCCGGATGGGAGACCCGAGCGAGGAGATGAGAAGCTGTATAAGGGTGGGCATCAGCTCACGCAGAGTACGCGGTGTATTGTCGACGACAATCTTCCAAATGTGGCTGGCAGCCTGGCGCACCACGTAGGTCGGGTCTGAGCGGGCAATATGGAGGCGAGCAAGAACGCGGTTGCGACGCTCGGTGCCAAGGGCCTCTTGGATACGGCGACTGGCCATGTTTGTTCCAAAGGTGTCGTCCTCGTCAGCGGTCTAACATAAAAGAGTTGGTGAACACGAACGTGAGAGGAAGGAGCGGGTGGCAGAATATGGGGAGGTCTCATTGAAAGTTACAGCGGTTGTTGTGATAATTTAATTGCGGTCCAATGAGTGTTGTCTAATCAATCATCCTATTCCAAGGAAACCACTAACCATCCGCACAAACGTTGCAAAGAGACTAATGCGAACGGAGAACAGCTCTCGAAAGGGGACTAGTGGGTATGACAAACTGCAATTCCTTAGGCTGTTAATCTTTCTAACGTTGGAGATAAAGGAGGCTGTAAAAAAAAATAGTCCATATCACACACCGCAAGCCCTAATCTGGCAATTTATAGATGCCTGTGTTCTCCCCCCCCGCCCCCTATTCTTTACTGCTCCCAGCTATTTTTACAGCTATACTTAAAAAAGACCTGGTCATTTTAAACGTAGTTTTAGCTGCCGGTGTTTCCTATGTTTTTTAAGTTCACACTATAATACAGCGACAATTTAAAACGGTCAGGCAATTTTCTGATCACATCCTCAATGAGGTCGCTCACCCTCTCCACTCTGAACTAATGGCTGCGTGGCCTTCCCGTACTATGCGTCGAAGCTTCCGTCATATGCCTTGCCATACACCGGCATATCAGCATTCTATACCCTAATTCCTAGCACGCTAGCTCACGTGTGAAGAAACGGAATTTGAAAAGTTGAAAGCCGGCCTGTCTCTATAACAGATGTGGACACAATGTAAACCCTCAACTTTGAGAATTCTACGACCTTTTACCTAACATTATTCTTTGCTCTTTGTGAATAGAGCCAGTTTTCCTAAACATTTGGGGACAATCTTCAATATAAAGCATATTCACCACAGGATACTAAAGATACACGATATTACTCACAGTTCACCGCAACGGCTACAAAGACCCACTAGAGGAGAAGCTGCTAATCGCAGACAAACAATGTGCCATTTGTTGAAAGCATTGTGAAGAGCAGTACTTGATCGAAATGCCCCAACAGAAAAAAGAGACGTAAATGTGTTAATACGATGCAAGAGATCAACTCACAGTGGTGGTACCCTTTCCAGAGGCACCGGCCAACTTGTAAAGAAGATCGCCGGTGAGTTGGAGAGATGAGTGACGGATGCGCCAGTCAGCGTCCGTCAAACCAACTTCAAGCTCTGGCAACAGCAGTTCTACGGCTTCTTCCGAGAAGAGGTCAATTATACGCTGACCAGCATGCAGCGCAGTGTCCCGCAGGTACTCACACTCGTCAGCAAGAGCCTAAACGGGAGCGCAAATGTAGACATATATATATTGAAACTGATTTACAGACTAAACAGGCGACGATAAAAACACAGAGTTCCACTTGCCTTGCGAATGGGTGGAAGGATCTGGCCGATGAACTGGACGAAATCATTCGAAAAGACTTCTGGCAGATAGACAAACAGCATGAGGTAGCCGTCGCGAACAAAGGGTTGGATGTTGGTAGCCTCTGCGGTCTTGATAAATTCGGGCAGAATGGACTGCAGACGTTGAACACCCATGGCACCCAGCACTTCAGCGAGGCCTTGTGCCGCGCCAGATCGGTCAACAGAGGACTGATCTGAGGTGAGAGTCGACATGAGCCAGGGAAGAAGTTCCTGGAGAAATTAGGGCAAGAAACGCACTGGGCAGTGAGCAAACAATGGCCTGAAAGAATGTAATAGCGCGTGCGCGAAGGTCTGACATTTTACCTTTGAACAGGATTCGCCGACTCCTCTGACCATAGCGCCGAGGGCACGCGCCGTGACTGAGCGCACCTCAGGAACGGGATCCAGCAGACAACTACGGAGACCGGGTAGAATACGTGGAATGTATGGCTCGAGATCCTGGAAAAGAGCGGAAGCATAAGAGAAAAAACAGCGTGAATTACGGATTAATTCGAAATATTCGTATCAACTGGAACACGCGCATCCCAATAAATTTTAATTTGAAGAATATTTTCTTTGGGATAAAGATTAACTTGAATGAGTGAATTTTCGAGGTTGGCACCCCAACTTGTTTTCGGACTAGCAGGAAAAGTGCAATGAACAACAAAAATTTCAAAACTGCCCAGATCGAGATATCACCGCTCAATAACGCCTTGTGTGAGTTACCAAAGGTAGAACACGACAAGAAGTGCGCAACAGCAGAAGTCTTTGAGAGAGAAAGGTACAACAAACTTAGGGCAACGAACGTGTGTAAGATAGGTCCACGAAACAATCAGCTTCTCTTCTGGATTTGGCGCCGGTGCGATTGGCTGGGACTCAAATGCTGACATTCAGCTTGAATTTTGAATTATCGACTGATTGACGGTACGTTCGCCCGTGTAGGCCGATCGATAGCCTGCTTTGAGTGTGGCTATTGCTTGCAGGCTAACCGCTTGCCAAGGCTGTTTGTTAGGCCTGCCTAACAATTCCCCCCTATGAGACGAATCGTAGGATTTGAGCTGCGGGTTCACTTGCAACGGGACCGTTTGCATTCTTTTCCGGTCTGATAGCCTAGAGGCTTGGGGAGGTTGCCACTCCTACCAATCACGTCTCACCTCATAAAACTATTGATTTTTTTCGGCAGTTTTGAAATTTTAGTTGTTCATTGCACTTTTCCTGTTAGTCCAAAGACGAGTTGGGGCAACAAACTCGAAAATTCACTCATTAAAGTTACTTTTTATCCCACAGAAAATCTTTTTTCAAATTCGAAATATATATGCACATAAGGAGGATGCAAAAGTTAAGCGCGGCGTGGCGCCTCACCTCTTTGCGCGAAAGGCTGTACAGGGTGCCAAAGATTTGAGCAGCAATCTTCCGGATATCCGTTGAACGGTCATCAAAGGCACGCTGCAGGACAGGCATAATCAGGGCCAGACAGGCGGCATCAATAATGTGGGTGAAACAAGTGTCACGCAGCATCAGCAGGCAGGTCATCTTGTCGGCCAGCGAGTCTTGCAGGGTGGCGATTAGGTGCGGCACAAGGGCTAGGAGAAGGTGCGGGGGGAAACAAAGGAGTAAACATCTTGTAACGACCCCATGGGGTTGAACAGGCAGAAAATATTTCCGAAAAATGGGGCTAAACAGAATCCGACAGTGTATACATACCCTGAACCTCGGGGTTCCGGATAACCGTTCCGATCTTGGCGAGAGCATTGGCGCCGGCCTTCTTGACACTCTCCTGTGAGTCCACAAGGACAGCCAGTAGGCGTGGGACGATTTGTGGGAGACAGGAGGAGAGTTGTTTGGGAGCACAGTTGGTCATAGTGGCCAGCACATTGACGGCCTCTTTTGAAAAAAAAGGTATACATATATATCAGAATTATCTTCATGATGGGATGTAAACGACAACAATATTCATCTGCGCAGTCTTACACTGGGGTGAATTGTCCCAAAACCAGTAACGATGACTTACAATTCTAATAGTCGACCAAATTATTATGGATGGCCGTCGCACCGGTTGAATAAACCAAATTAACCTTGGTTCCGAATGTATGTGCTGCACGGCATGCGAGGTCAGCACCCTGGCAGGAGAGAGTGTGGGATTTTCGGGTTTAGTTCCGACCGACCAACTCAATCGAGGGAGATGAGTGAACAGTTGAGAGAACTAAGCCCGACTGGTTAATAAGAGGGCTTAAGTAGCGGTCATCCCGTACAGGACAACAAGTAGACAGCGTCTTTCTAACTTTCGACTTGTACTTTAACTGGACAGGATACAGCACCTTAGCCATGTGCTCTCTGAGATAACGTTGGTCCTCGCCAACAGTGAAGCTGGCTGGCAGATAGAATGGGATAGAGCGAGATCCCAACCACGATAAATGAGGGCGCACACGCCTGGTCCCTTTAAAAATTTAGGCGCCTAATTGCAGAAGATAAAAGACAGGCTTATGACGCACTTACGATCGGTAAGGACCACGAAGCGGCTGTGCGTGTCCGGTGTGTTAGTTACTTAACGGGTTTGATATATTCAGGACAGTTTGACATATGGTGGGCAAACATACGTTGCGTAAACCGGATAACTTTTCGGGCCGGACGCAGCTATAAGTGACCCCGCACTAGAAGTGGCCTTCTACAAGATTCGGTGAACTACTTCTCCGCGTACCCTAAATTAAACCATATACATGAAACAAAACTCCCTAACCCTTATTCCCTGCAAGTTAGCTCAAGGTCACCGATAATAAGGTACAGTACTTATGACGGTGCCGTATACAGATGCCAAAACCGAGACCCCAAAATTATGTTCTAAAGGATATTACTTACCCGTAAAAAATTTTCCCCAAGACGCTTCTAGCATAAAAATCCACATTCACAAACATTAAGAAAACTTTAGTAGAGAGGTATTTTGTGTAAAAAAATCACGCATTGGCCAGAAAGTCTGTCTGACGCGGTAACGACAGCAAATGATGAAAATGCAGGACTCACGGCATTTTGTTCGCCAGGCACTATCTTCGTCGATGACCTTGAGGAGAATTGGCAGAATCAACTTGATGCCGTGGGCGCTGAGCTTACTCATGACCGCCTGGCTGGTGACTGCGGCAGCCTGAAACATACATAAGCGGAGATGAAGCACGATAGATTGGATGCCTTTCGAACTGACACGGTACACAGCCCCGTGTTGATATTAGTGAGAGACTTCAAAAAGAGGTACCACGTAATTAATTAATAACAGCACTTTCAACTTCTTCTTGCCACCTTCTTTAGGCGAATCACTGACAACTAACAAGCGCATTAAACAGTTCCGGTCGAGGAGGAAATAACAGCGGCAAGGCACAACGGTTTCAGCGCGATCTCGTTGCTTTACAACAAATTGGAGTCATGCAATATATCAAAAGCACAAAGCAGAAGTTAGGCCAGGG